TCAAGGCCATGCTTAATAAATTATTGCTGTTTCACTATATAGGTGCTTAATCTACATGTTGAAATGACGTTTATAAGATGATTTGCATTACAGTGACAGTATATGTTGAGTTTTGACACTTTTTTTTTCCAGATGAATATGATCAAAGTATCTAATATTATGGGTGTTGACCCAAAACCATTTGATCCTAAAACATATGTTGAAGAGGATACATTTGTTACTGATGAATCTGGAGCCAAGAAACGCATACGGTTGGAGAACAACATTGTGCGCTGGAGGACTGTGAGAAATCCTGATGGCACAACGACTGTATGTAGCAATATATCATTGTAGTTAGTTTTCCATACAGTTTTCATTTCATGCCCATGGATAGAAGACAGATGATCTTGTATATAAGCTGTTTTTCACTTTTATATACTTTCTTTGTTCTCCTATTTTGTGCTTTATAATTGTCCTTTTTATGTGGTAAAGAGTTATCTGAAATAACAAGCTTGATACTGAAATTGATCTTAGCTGTTGAGGTAGAATTTCTCTGGAGGATGTAAAGTTCACAGGTTCTTTTGACATATGACTCAAACCTCTGCGTGCTTGGTAACAAATGGTTTTGCTGAAATGGACGAATAATGAATTTTCTGAATTTGACAAGTTGAGATGTTAAGGAATAATTGGAATTTGGAGGACGAAATTTGAACATCACATTGGTCAGTGATTTATTTTCTGTTTTTCTCCCTTGCTTAATTTCCCGTTGATTGGGACCAGGTGTGATTGAGAAGGTATATTGTATCCAAGTTTAGTTGGCGAAGCTGTAATTTAAAATGGTAAAGGATCAAAAGATGCTAAATGATAAGTCTTAATGGAATAGGTGGTTTAAAGCTTCTGTGAGGCTCAACTGGGTGGCCATGCTCTGACAGGGTTGATTCTGAATAAAATTGCCTCATGGTTGTGTCTGCACATAGTACCCTGCAGTCCAGTGTATCAGGACTTAAATATGTATGACTCACTTAATGAGTGTTTTCTATGTACTGGTCACGCCATCAACTTTGTGGCAGTTTTCTTAAAGTGGATGTATAAATAAGCTCCATTGATGTATGTGGGCATAATGGATGCATGTGGTTAATGTTTTATTAATTTTTCATCTGTTCTGCTTTTAATACCATAACTATTTCATTTGAACTGTAGCACCCTTGCTCTTTGATAAAATATGTCATTCATGACCAAGATGAATTATCATTGGTTTTATGCTGATGTAGTGTGAAAGCAATGCTCGTTTTGTGAGGTGGTCTGATGGCAGCTTGCAGTTATTAATAGGGAATGAAGTTCTTGACATATCTGTGCAAGATGCACAGCATGATCAAGCGCATCTTTTTCTTAGACATGGGAAGGTGAGTTGTGATATGCTATATATGACTTTCTTGCTGGTTATTGTCTAGAGAACCATGTGCCCAACGCTATACAATGTGTGCAGGGGATCCTCCAATCACAAGGAAGGCTATTAAGGAAAATGAGATTTATGCCGTCTTCCTTGTCTTCAAATTCTCATAGGTTGCTGACTGCCCTTGTGGATTCAAGACATAAAAAAGTTTATAAGGTTAAAAATTGCATTACTGACATTGATCCTGAGAGGGAGAAGGAGGAAAAAGAAAAGGTATAATTTATTGGATAGTAGTTTCATGCTTTTGCTGTTACTTGTACTAATCTCCTTGTGGATTTTGCAGGCAGAAAGTCAAAACATCAGAGCCAATGTACTTCTCAACCGTAAAAGAGAGAAGGTGAGCCGGAAATATGCTCCCCCTGTAGAAAGGAGGCGCCAACTTTCTCCTGGGTTTTTGGAGGATGCTTTGGATGAGGTTTGCTCTCAAAATATTATTTCCTGCTCAGTCATTGTAGCCTTCATTTGCATGCGCATTTGCCAGAGTGTTTTCTATGCCCATTACCCATCTAATATTTTATACTATGCCAATTTGATTAATCATTCACTTTTCTTTTGTCAGGATGATGAAACAGATTATTATAATTCTCATCGTGCTCGTCGCCGCTTTGAGGATGATTTTGATGTCGAAGCGCAAGCAGAGAAGCGAATTATGAATGCTAAGAAGGTACCATCACTCTGTATGCTGATAGTTGGAATTTTGCTGGTCATCTTCCTTCTATCACTTAATGAAGGCTTTTTCCCTTTTCCTGTGATCATAGTCACAGGCACACAAGGATATCCCTCGAAGGTCATCTTTCCCACCTGTTAAGTCATCCCGGCGTCCGATAGAGTTCTCAGATGATGAGAGAGAGGAATCTGAGTATGAAACTGATGGCGAGGAAGATGATCGACCTCTGCCACGAAAAAGTGCCGAGGATACTGAACCAGAGTATGAGGATGAGGAAGAAGAAGATGAAGAAGAACGTTATGAAGAAGCACAAGTTAATGACGCATCAGAGGAAGAGGAGGTATTATTATTCTCAAATAATTTAGTTTGCTTTAAGATTTGCTGGACTTATCAATGAATAAGTAGGTACGGACTGGCTTCTGTATTTGATTACTTGTATTGTAGAGCTTTGGTCTTCTAGATCGAATATTATGGTTTATATGCAACTTCTTTTGCCCTTTGGTAGTATTTTCTTCTCATTTGTTGTCTACGTTGGCATATAAGTTATTGGCTTCGGCAAAATTATTTTTATTTTTGCTGATGGGATATGAAGTGTGTAGGCTGTGGCAACTGTTAAATGCCAATAATAGGTGTTGGGCGTATTAACCAAAGGGGGAAAAAAAATCTCGAAATGCTGCTTGGGAAGTCCAAAATTCTCAGAAATTTTTGGACTGCTTTCTGGATTAATCTTGAGAATTTTGGCAGGAACCAAAGCAGAAGAATAAGGAGATCCGAGGCAGCAAGAAAAGGAAGGGTTTTGAGTCAGATGAGGAATCTCCTCCAAGAAAAGCAACAAACCATGCCCACAGGCGAATGGCAGTTGTTTATGATAGTGATGAGGAATGAATTTCTTCAAGCCGCATTGCCTTCATGTGAGTGTACCTTAACCTTATTATGAGACCCGAGTGTAATCACTTTGTCATTCCTATGAGGGGAGGCCGCGGTAGCGGCCAGCACAATGACGCCTAAATGTTTTGTTTGGAGATGATGAGGAATGCACCTTTTTTTTTCCCCCGTTTTTTGTTTTGCATTTTATTGTTGATGATTAAATTTTGTCCTAGTTTAAAATGCTATCTGACTGTACCTTGCCACCATATTGGTTGTCGATGTTGGTTTTATCTGACATTAGACTGGTTGAGTGCCAATGGTAATGGATGTTATGTTCCAGGGAAGCCGTCCGCCTTGTGCCTTTCCCGGGTTCATTGCGATTGGGATTGTTGAGCAATGTGGTTAGAAGGCGGCTAGCAGATTATCCAATGCAGCAGAAGCCAAGATGGCTCATCTTTCTCCGCTTTCTGTTCCCTTCGCGCATTTGAATTTAGTTATTTACCTTTACATATAATAGAAATGGAAATTGCTCGTCACCTCCAAGCACCTTTAGCATGAATATAGAAGCTTGAGACGTAGCAGAGTATCTTTGGATCACTCACAAAAGCTTATAACTGCCCATGAATTATCATCTTTGTAATTACTGATTATGTTCATTATCACTCTTATTTTCATTTCCTGTGATAATTTTCATTTTTTGCACTCGAATCAATTGCAATCTTCAGTCAATTTATTTTTTCTTCATTGTTTGCATGAATTTTTAACTGTTGTTAAATGAAGAAAAAAGTCGATGTAAATTATGGGTAGTATTGGATAAGCATCGTTGCATTTTCAAGCCCTATTTACAATTTACTCTTTAATTTAAAAATTAAAAACGCACCTTTTTCAATTTATTTTATGGTTGTTCACAATCTACTCCTTTTAAATTGAAAAGTGATCGCTAAATCTTCCAATTTTTTGGATTTTTGTGTTTGGTTCAATTCATATTGTTCCTTCTATCGGATGTCCCCAAAGACACATTTGAATTCTTGAGTCCAAAAAAAAAAAAAACATTTGAATTCCTATTAGCTTTGCTTACATGTAATTTCATCATACAATTCACGCATCAAATTGTAACTTTTCTTATACTTTTCGATGTTCAAATTATAATTTTAAAAACTCACTTTTTATGGATCCAAAACGAGACTGAAAATATATTACCCTCGTTTTCTTTTATTTGAGAAAGATTATATAAGATAGACTTATCCTTGCATGATGTTTCGGTCGATGTTTTAGTGCATTTGAAAGGAAGAAAAAAGGTAAATAAAATTGCAAAATTCACACTATTCAACCACTTTATAAGTTTTTTTTAAAGTTTTTAACTAAAAAGTATGCTCAATTCTAAGTTTTGTTTATTGAAGTGTTAATATTTTTTTAATTATTTCATATTTTAATAGTTTAAGAGACAATAGTTGAAAAAAGTGAACAACGTGTGTAAGAAGATTTGAAAGGAAAAAATCCATGGCCACCAGAATCCATGAAACAATTTATCACCAATCATCAATCAATATTTAAGTACTATGCGGGTTAAGATTCACCATTAAAAACTTATAAAGTTACAACTAGGGTAGTAAAATCGTGTTACATTTTAAATTATATTATAATTTATAGGTTATAATTCATATTGAAAGTTGGGTGATGCCCTCAAGTCGGTGCTGACCACTAAGGGGGTGTTTGAATAACCCAAAAAGTATTTTTTAGAAGTATTTTTTTATAAATCGAAATAAATTTCTTTACATATTTACTTTGTATACCATAAAAGCACTTTTAAAATTATGATTTGATATCTAAATACCCCCTAAATATTAATAGACTTGGGCTTTAGACTCTGAAAGCGGATTATGGGCCTGTTCGTACATTCTGGGGAAGTCCAGTACAGCCCATTCGATTCTTCGCCCATCACCGAACAGCTCGAATTTAAACAGGCGCACCTAAATTGGGGAACGACTTTTCTAGGAGGTTCTTCGCTCAGTCGCGAACGTCCGCGAGCCTTCCAGATGCCTCTCTCACATCAACAAATAAACGTCCTCCTCCTTTCCTCACCGCTAACAGAAGTTCCGAAACGTCTTCAGCTACTCTCTAAACCAAATCTCCCGAAGGGCAGTGTACATATTTTCTGTGTTTCTTCTTGGTTCATCCGATCAAGGCGTTAAAGCTTGCTCGTTTAATATCTCTGTAGTGTTTCCTTGCAACTCTACGTTTTTCGGCTTGTACTTCCGCAATTGTTCTGAAAGTTTTCATCTCCTCCTTACTGGTATGTTAATATCCTTTATAACCTTATGCTTTCTGAATGCTTTTGTGGTCAGTGAGATAGCTACTGTGACGTTCGATGATTAATTAACGGGTGTCGTTGGGTTGTGATGATACTTTGTGTCCTTAATGTGTGTCATGCTATCTGTGCCATTTTTCCTTAGTTGTATTTTTATCATCATCAAATAGGTTTCTGAATTCTTGTTTCTTTTGTTAGGTTCTAATATACAAATGAATCCTGATAAGTTTACTCACAAGACCAATGAGGCTCTTGCCGGGGCACATGAGCTGGCAATGAGCGCTGGCCATGCACAATTCACGCCCCTTCATCTCGCAGTTGCTTTGATTTCTGATCCCGCTGGCATTTTCCCCCAATCAATTTCTGGTGCCGCCGGGGAAGAAGCTGCTCGCGCTGCGGAGAGAGTCTTCAATCAAGCATTGAAGAAATTACCTTCTCAGTCTCCCCCTCCGGATGAGATACCTGCTAGTACTACCCTGATTAAAGTAATTCGGAGGGCACAAGCAGCACAGAAGTCCCGTGGAGACACTCATTTGGCTGTTGACCAATTGATTCTGGGTCTTCTTGAAGATTCCCAGATTGGTGACTTGCTGAAGGAAGCAGGGGTTGCTACAGCAAGAGTGAAATCTGAGGTAGATAAGCTTCGTGGTAAGGAAGGGAAAAAGGTTGAAAGTGCTTCTGGGGATACAAATTTACAAGCATTGAAGACGTATGGGCGGGACCTCGTTGAGCAAGCAGGTAAACTTGACCCTGTTATTGGTCGTGATGAGGAAATCCGAAGGGTGGTGAGGATTTTATCAAGAAGGACGAAGAACAACCCGGTTCTCATAGGAGAGCCAGGAGTGGGGAAAACAGCTGTGGTTGAAGGTTTGGCACAGAGGATAGTTAGAGGGGATGTTCCTAGTAATCTCGCTGATGTGAGGCTTATTGCATTGGACATGGGTGCTCTGGTGGCGGGTGCAAAATACAGGGGAGAATTTGAAGAGCGATTGAAGGCAGTTCTAAAGGAAGTGGAGGAAGCCGAGGGGAAAGTTATTCTCTTCATTGATGAGATCCATCTAGTCCTTGGCGCAGGTCGTACTGAGGGCTCAATGGATGCTGCCAATCTCTTCAAGCCTATGCTTGCTCGAGGTCAGCTCCGATGCATTGGCGCTACCACGCTAGAGGAATACAGGAAATATGTGGAGAAGGATGCCGCATTTGAAAGAAGATTCCAACAGGTTTATGTGGCCGAACCCAGTGTCGCAGACACCATTAGCATCCTTCGTGGGCTGAAAGAGCGTTACGAAGGTCATCATGGTGTTCGGATTCAGGATCGTGCTTTGGTTGTTGCAGCTCAGTTGTCTAGCCGCTATATCACAGGTATGCATCGTGTCTGGGGTTTTTGTTCTTGTATTTAAATTTCCAGCGTTAGAAATCGGTCCCTTTAATAGCATATATTTCACGCATGGATGTATACTTAAATGATGGCATACATGGTTTTACAGGGCGTCATCTTCCTGACAAAGCAATTGACTTAGTGGACGAGGCATGTGCTAATGTGAGAGTTCAACTTGATAGTCAGCCTGAGGAAATTGATAACCTTGAAAGGAAGAGAATGCAGCTAGAAGTGGAACTCCACGCACTTGAGAAAGAGAAAGACAAAGCTAGCAAAGCCCGTCTCGTAGAAGTATGTAATGTTGTCTTTTGCATTGTGAAATATTTTAATGTTTTGAATTACAGGCTCTTATTTTATTTATTTTATCGTTTCTAAACGTTCTTGTCATGTTTAGGTGCGGAAAGAGCTTGACGATTTAAGAGATAAACTTCAACCTTTGATGATGAAGTACAGAAAAGAGAAGGAAAGGATTGATGAGCTTCGCAGGCTCAAGCAGAAACGAGAGGAGCTGTTGTTTGCCTTACAAGAGGCTGAGAGGCGATATGATCTAGCCAGAGCTGCGGACCTGCGATATGGGGCAATTCAGGAGGTGGAATCCGCAATACAACAATTAGAAGGAAGCGCTGGTGAAAATTTGATGTTGACAGAAGCTGTTGGACCAGATCAAATAGCTGAGGTTGTGAGTCGCTGGACTGGCATACCAGTGACGAGGCTTGGCCAGAATGAGAAAGAAAGGTTAATAGGACTTGCTGATAGATTGCACCAGAGAGTGGTGGGACAAGATCAAGCAGTAAGTGCGGTGGCAGAGGCAGTGTTGAGGTCAAGGGCTGGGCTCGGAAGACCTCAACAACCTACTGGCTCATTCCTGTTCTTAGGGCCAACTGGGGTTGGTAAGACTGAGCTTGCGAAGGCTCTTGCTGAGCAACTTTTTGATGATGAAAATCAGCTGGTAAGAATTGACATGTCCGAGTACATGGAGCAACACTCGGTCTCTCGGTTAATCGGTGCACCGCCTGGGTATGTTGGCCATGAGGAGGGAGGGCAACTCACGGAAGCTGTCAGGCGAAGGCCTTACAGTGTGGTCCTCTTTGATGAAGTGGAAAAAGCGCACACATCTGTGTTTAATACTCTACTTCAGGTCTTGGACGATGGGAGGTTAACTGATGGCCAGGGTCGCACAGTGGACTTCAGGAATACCGTCATCATCATGACTTCGAACCTTGGAGCAGAGCATCTCCTGTCCGGGCTCTCAGGAAAGTGTACGATGCAAGCAGCTCGGGATCGAGTTATGCGAGAGGTGGTTTATCGCAGATTTTTTCTTTCTCAAGAGTCACAACGTAGAATTTCATGTGTATGTGTATGGTAAAAGACATTGTTTTCTTTCTGTGGCCGTGGTTACTGAACTACTTTCCTTGTACAGGTGAGAAGGCATTTTAGGCCAGAGCTGTTGAACCGGCTGGATGAAATTGTAGTATTTGATCCTCTTTCACATGAGCAACTGAGGAAGGTTGCGAGGTTACAAATGAAGGATGTGGCGGTACGTCTTGCTGAGAGGGGAGTTGCTATGGCAGTGACTGACGCAGCATTGGACTTTATCCTGGCAGAGAGCTATGACCCGGTTAGTATTATTACATCAAAATCAATACTAATTTGCTATATGATCCTAAAAGGCGTCCATACTGAAGTGGATGTTCATTATTTGCAGGTTTATGGTGCTAGACCAATCAGGAGATGGCTTGAGAGGAAGGTGGTGACAGAGCTCTCAAGGATGCTTTTAAGGGAAGAGATTGATGAGAACTCGACGGTCTATATAGATGCTGGGCCTAAAGGCAACTCGTTAACATATCGTGTGGAGAAGAACGGAGGAATGGTTAATGAAGCTACTGGACAAAAGTCAGATGTCTTGATCCAGATCCCAAACGCATCTAAGAATGATGCTGCTCAGGCAGTCAAGAAGATGAAGATTGAGGAAATTGATGAGGATGAAGATGCTGAGATGGAAGGTTGAAGTTTATGAAAATGGATGAGACTTGAGCGGCTCCCCTTTCCTTTCCTTTTGTTTCCTTGTTTTACCCAGGGCACTGTAAATGAAGACTCCCTCTGTTGAGGAAAAAGGTGTATATATGGTTTGTTTGTTTGTTTTTGTTTGGTTGAGTTCGACTGAAGAATGAAGACGCCGACTTTGTTGTGAAATTACGATATGTGGGTCCCGTCCCAAGCTTTAATTCACTTCTTTGGGATATTTTCCTCGCCTGTCGAGCATCGACATTCGGAATTTGAATCATATCAGAGCTGTGGTATGAAAGTGTGTATGTCTGAATGGAACTCTTTTCTTGGCTAGTTTTTGTGCATTGAAGCAAGACAAATTGGGGCAGCTCCAGTCCTTGAATAGTTGGGTACGAAGGAGGTGGGGTTTTGTTGCTGAAAGTCATGAGATGCGTAACTGAAATGTCATTATTTGCAAGGGGGAAATAAGGATCACTCGACCGAAGCTGAACTATTCCGTGGCACGAAGCTGGCTTCTCTCCGCTGCTCCCTTCCTTCTGCTGCCCTCCTCTACCCATTTTGATATATTTTTCTTAATTTTCCAAAAACAATTTATGGCGTTAAATGTATTAAAAATTATTTTAAGATGTTGATTGTCATTAAAAAAATATTTTAAATTACAGAATATACTAAAAATCATTTTAAAATATCGGGTGGATGTTCTTAAAAAAATATTTTAATTTAAGTATATCAAAAATTAAGTATATTGAATGTTTCTAAAAAACAAATGTCCTAGATGTAGGTTGCCAAGTGCTATTTCAAAAACAATTGATGGTGTTAGACGCATTAAAAGATATTATAAAACATTGTATTATTTAAAAAATTATTTTATGATACTGGTAAGTACTCCTGGAAATATATTAAGATATTGAGAGTATCTAAAGTTATTTTAAGATACCGGGGGCTCTTAGTGCTCTTAAAAAATAGTTTTTTTTTTTGCCTGAAAGTGCTCTTAAAAAATAGTTGAAGATAAGGATACTGGATTTTTTTTTCTTGGGAAAAAAAATTCAACCCTCCTGATTTTCCACCCAAAACGACCTAGTTTTGGGCAGAGGAGAGCAGCAGAGGAAAGGGAGTAGCAGAGAGAAGCCAGCTTCCCATGGGCCAGTGGTGCTGATGATTCTGATGGCAGTTTTAGGGCTGTCAGAGTCAGAAGCATTGGAATTACCAGAGAATAGCAAAAGTGGACCAACAAATTTGTTTCATTCTTTCATTGCGTGTCGTGTTAACTCAGCTATTCATTCACCAACTGCGTTCTATGAGGTGAATTTAGTGGAATTAGCTATAGCTAGCCTCTATCTTCTACCTGAGCAGCATCCGACGAGATCTTCTTAATTTTTCTTAAAATATTATTCTCAAGCCTCATGCTGACATCAATCAACGACATACATACAATCGTGCATCCACCAACCTATTTAGATATTGCTATTCACTGCCAAAAAAATGAATCTGCAACCAAATGGGTGTTTGGAATGCCAGAAGATGTTTTTAAAAGGTTTATTCTTTATGTGAATCGAGACAAAAATTTTTTTCACATACTTATTTTATATTATTAAATTATTTTTAAAAATTTTATTTTTATCTAAATACCTTCTAAATCTTGCTGCACGAGAGAAGATGGGTTGTGGAGTTTGCAGTTCATGGTTAGTCAAATAAATTGAAGTGTGACCGCCACACTTGAATAAGATGCTGTGCCCGACTCATTGCTTTACGTCGGCAATTATGCTGTATTCAGAAACATCCCAAATCGAATCAAATGGGTCCGTGTATGGCTGAGCTGTCCCTGGAGCTGGATGACCCCTTTTTTGTTATGTATGTACGTACTTTGGTTTAACGTCCCAACTCAATCACTGTGACGTTTGTTGCGTCCAAAGCTTTTCCCCAGTCAACATTTGAAGACTTCATATTTTAATAGCCGCACTTCATAGTTCTTACTTATACATACATATATATATATATATATGTATGTATATTTATATGAGTAGGTGGCCACTTGTGTTAGTTGCAAATTTCCAATATTATAAATATAAAATTGAAAACACGACTTCCTCAAACTCCAACCTTATCTCTTGACTTTACACCCCGAGGTTTTGAGAATTACAGTAAATTTTTCATCACGTGGTTCGTGAGATATAAATAATTAATCTGTCGTTATAATAAAGTTACTTATATTTCATTATAAAAAAATTGTATGAGAATAAATTAAAATATTAATACAGTGTGATATCTCTGTAGGATATTTTCAGTTCACACAATATATACTATAGCTCTTCATTTTTTTGGGTGGTTTTCTTCATCATCTTTTCTTAAAAGAAGAAAAGCAAAACAGATAGAATCTTCCCCTGGCCCATGAATCTGGCTTTGCAGTGTCCATCGTCAGTCTCCTCACACTTTTGTTCTTTGTCTTCACATGCTTGCAAATTCTTTTTATTTTGGTGGTTGTTACATACTACCTCCGGTTTGACTAATTTAGATAAATTTAAAAAAATAATTTAAGTTAATTGTTTGTAATAAATAACTATTTTTTTTAAATATCCTTGCTGATCAAGTTTATTGGCTATAACTACTATTATTAGAAGGACAATCTTGAAAAAAAAAATACAAGAGACAAATTGAATTGAGATCTTATATTTAGAACTAAAATATAAGTCAAACAAGATCTTATATTAAAGACAGGAGGTAGTATAATGATTTTGATTTCTCCATCATTCATCTGCATGCCAACAACGTATCCCTCAAGCATCTATAAACTTTAATTCAACACTAGAGTGATTACCATATCAATATACTGGTTTTTAATACTCCCTCCGTTCCTTATTATAAGAGACATTTAGTGCTTATGGCATGTTCTTATATATAAGAGACACTTAAAAGTTGTCTCTACTTTTTTGTGTTGATTTCCTATTTTACTCATATTTATTGTCTCCAACTCACACTCTCTCTCCTTTCCACTTCTCTTTCTTTTAATAAATTACCATTGTTCTCTCTCATATTCTCTCTCCTTATTAATGAGGGTATTTTTGGAAAAAAAATTATACTTTTTACATATTAATTGTTCTTAACTAATTTTAACTGTTTTTTTTATCAACGTAATTCGGTTATTCGTCTCTTATAATAAGGAACGGAGGGAGTATAAGACTTAATTGAATAATTTATAGAGATTAAGAAAATTAGTTGAGTTGGTTATTTATAATAAATAAGTATTGTCTTTTCTAGAATACGCTTACTTATCATGTGTATTAGCTAAAACTACCATTTGATAGAATTTATAATATGTATAACTACTACAAGGATTACTTGAAAAAAATAAATAAATATGAGAGACAAAATGAATTAGAATATTATATTTAGGATTAGATTAAATATCAAATTAGCTGTTAAATTAAGGATCTGAGCTGGTACATAGAAACATATGAAAAATAAAAGAATAGAGAAACCAGGCACGGAAAGGAAATGATATTTACATGGTAATTTCTCCTTAAAGAAGGATAAAAAGCTCAAGACAAAGTAAAATAAAGCATACTACTTTCGTGATTAAACCACCGTCACGCCTTTCACAGAATTATTATAAATAAATATTGTATCAACAGAATTATAGTGTTCCTCTCGTAAATTTCTGTTATAGCCCTCAATATATATCGATATACATCAAGGAAGCTAATCCTCATAATCCCGATCCAACTTCCTAGAGCCTGCTCTGGTCACGTAAATATATACGATTTCTTTTCGAAACACTGTGTTATTGATCTTATTAAGATATGGGCAACACATGGTTTATTAATTAATCTGTTAAAAATGACTTAATGACCGATACTCTGAGTTATACCAAAAAATTAAATTTTAAGGAACATGTGTGTATAGAAAATGATTAATTAATCAATCAATTAATTAGCTGGTCGCAGTATTCTTATGTCCGTATGCCTAGCTAGTTAACTAGGAACATGTGAAAAAATTTTAGGATTTTAAATAGCCAAAAATTTCTGACAACACTTATAATTAAAAAACCAGACACAGCATTGTATCGAGAAAAAAATTAGATATAGCAACAAAAGGAAATTTTGCCTTGATCCTTCCTTTTTTTTTTTTTTTCATTTCTATATATTGTTCTCATCAGTTTATAAGATATATTTTTAATCCAACCTCTTTAAATTTAAGCGTGCTTTGTATAATTAAAATGAAATTTGATATAAATCTAAAAGAAATGTATACTAAAGTCAAACATAATTTAACAATATTATTGTGCATACATAATTAAATATTGTTATGAATATAAATCTAAAGGAAGAGCTCATACAAAAGGGGTGGAAATCTTATACTTACAAAGAAGCTCCCGGATATGCGATTCATAATGGAAAAATCAAAACTACTGCTCAATTAGGTCACGGAAGTGCAAATTACTTGAGGTTTTGAAAATAGCACGGTTATTATTGACGACGTAATTTAAGAAGTTAAAGAGATTAGTTTCTAGAAGATGGAATATATATGAGACATCCTGCATGCAGGAACACGACATGTTCCAACCAGGATCATCATCTAATTAATTAAACTCAATTTGAATTCCCCCTCCGCGCCCCCCCCCCAAAACAGAATTAACGACCTGGTCCATTTCTCTATTCTTCTAACCAAAACAACATTTGTCAATAATCAAACATGTTTGTGTGATGGAATAATATATACTCCTCCGGTCCTAAATGTAAAACCCTTATACTAGTATGTATAAAGATCTTATATTAAGGATCAGATGAGTATAATCCAATTGTGTTCATCATATATATATATATATATATATATATATATATGTAGACGCGCTAGCGCACACACAAGCAGAAATATATGTGAAAAGGTGTGGGCAGCAAATATTTCTCATGTCCTGCGGGCTACCGGCTACGCATATTTGGAAATCAAACAATAAACGAAGATCGACGGTTTACAGCCTCTCATTTTAGATATCAAGTTTCAAGCACAAAAGAATTAATTAAATGAGTAAATATAAATTATATCTCAAGGTCATCCCAAAAATGAAATATTCAACACGCAGTTTCAATTTTAGAATTAAGTGTAAAGAATGGGATGACTATATATATATATATATATATATGAAAATTGGCTTGTAATATAGTCAATTTGATCCCACTATATATGCATGGGAAAGGAATAGAACTCATGTCAGCTTCTATATTGTGTAAACAATTTGCAATTGAAACCTTATCGCTCAGGTCGTCTTCTGAATTGCTGTGTTTTAGAAGAAAGAGAAATATA